CCCCCGCTTTATATCTTCCTCATTGTTCCTCTATCTCCCTCCACCTCTCCTCTTGCATGCAGAATACGCGGCATTTGAGCTGCTGTGCTCTGAGTCATACCGCTCTCTCCTCCCTTTTCCTTCCAGAAGCTTGCAAATGTTCTTTTTTTTTTTTTAGTGCCTCGCTTCTCTAACAACCATCAGGATTTGTTCAGCATTTTTTTTGGTCCTAGGCGCTGAAATGATGCCTTTTCATCCTGCTGACAGACAGAAGGACAGGCTGTGGATAGACAGTCAAACAGAAAGACAAAAAGGAGCCAGTCATACTTTTTCCCAACAGAGGCAGCAGTCTGCTTTTAAATTCTTGATCCTGTCTGTGTTTTTGCTGTTGCTAGTAGTCTTACTCATTTGATTACAGAAGGCTTAGTTTCTCCTCTTCCCACTGGTGAAATGCCTTTTTCACTCGCCGCAGTCCCTGTAGCAAGTTTGGTCCATTTTTCCTCTCTTTAACCCTCACAGCTGGCTCTCCAAATATGTTTTTGTGACAGTCTGAAAAGAGGAGAAGATAGGACAGAAGCACGTTTACTGTAAATACCACTGTCTTTTACACTTTAAGAAAACACTGAGATGTTCTCAGAAAAGGGGGTGAAGAAGCTTATGGGTGGGTGAGTGGGTGGAATGGAAAGATGGTTAGCAAGAAAAGGTGTGAAGACAGAGGCACGAGGATGGATGAAGAGTAAGATGGTGAACAGAGGAAGATAAAGATGGGTACATGCATGGATTTAAAGGATGAATGGTTCGGCAGGTTAACTGCTGTCACAGAGGAAAAGGCCTCTCCAAGTCTCTGTTAGTCAAAACTATCAGTATAGTAGTATTTAAATGAGCTTTGTCAATATTTCATTCATTTATAGTTTGATATTTTACCTGCGTTGAATCCTGCCGTACTCTCCCTGACAATGCACTGCTGCTCTCTTTTAATTTCTACCTCTCTCATCGTTCTCTGTCTGCTGCTGCAGCCTCAGTCTGTGCCATCACTAAAATGCAGTATCCCTTCCCTCCCGCCTCCTCTCCTCCGCTTACTCCCTCTGTCTCTCCCACTCTGTTTCCCTCAATTTCTCTCCCTCCTTTACCCCCACCACGCTCCCATTCTCTCTATATTTGTCCTTCTCTGTCTGTCTGTGCCTCTATTTTTCAGTCTCTCCCTCTATCTCCTCACTTGGTTTACACGTTCACTTCCTCCGTCCCCGCCCCTTCCGCCACTCTACCCCCTGTCTCCACTTTCCCCACATGTATTCCATCACCACCTCTCCTCCTCCCTTTCTTTCACTCTCGTCGCCTGCTTTTTTCAGCCTTTCCTCACAGAGAAGCTTCGAGAACACACTGGACTGGACAGGCTCTGGGAGGGGAAAGCTCGGGGGACATGTGAACACCATTCACAATCGCGCCGCATGAATAATACATCCATAGTACGTTCATACTTTTTCAAATGCATGCACACATCAAAAACCTGCTCCAAAGATGTTCTCTCGCTCTCTCTCTCTCTTTCACTCTATCTGACGGAGAAAAAACAAAAGTACATCCTGCTCAACAAACAATGAGGATTTTGCTATGCGCTACCTGTGCCAGCCACACGTGCTAAAACGCAGCTCACTGAACGCACTGAGAATGAAAGCAGGTCTTCAGCAGCGCAAGACCACAGCTGCAAATCGAAGAAAGATTGAGCAAAATGTAATTAGTAAATTTCTCATACGACTGCAGCCACATACTGTTTTTGCAAAAAATATGTCATTTAAAATGAAAATTCAGTTTTGACAAACAGTGATCGACTCATTGAGCTTCTAAATGAAACATTAGTACATTTAGGTTTGCGTAACCAGTGGAAAAGAGACAGAAGATCAGAAAGGGAAAGCGTTTGAGTGGGTTTGCTTGCATGTAAATGTTGCGTTGTGCTGAACATTTGTGCATATATGTGTAAACGATGACATGTGCATCACATCTTCCTCTTGCATATATGTATGTGTGTGTGTGTGGCTGAGGTTGTGTGCGTGGGTGGTTGTGTGTAGCTGGTTAGAACTGTCCTTTTGGCCCCTAGCATCACCCAGTGCCACCATCTGTGCTGCCAGCCAGATGGGAAGGGTGTGTGTCTGCACAAATGTGTGTACACGAGTGAGTGTGTCCAAGCAAACATTTACATGATCACTGGATGCGTTGTTTTCTTTTCTATAATTTTTTTTGTGTCAATCCACAGAGCAAACTAGCTGTTCTTACGACTATAAATCTGATGCAACGCCGCCACCCTCCACCCCATAGTAACATTTCATTGTTAAGTGACACTATGCCTGTTGTTTTCAAGTGACCTGAGTCTTCTAGTGATTGTACTAAGTGACTGAAGCAAATCATGCAGCTATAAAGCAAAGAAAGGAGTCAGGAGAGGTTACTACAAAGCCATGCAGTCTATGACAAAATAACCAGATACCTCACACTATGTACAACTCACTGTATCAATTGAAATATTCAAAATACAACTGTGTTTTTTGTGTCATTTCATAGACATGATGGAAGGTGGAGATGTAGTGATTACACAAACTTATTTGAGATGAGCAATGGAACAACTGCCAAAATGAAACTACAAGATTAAACCGCTTTAACTGAAGAGTCATTGCTCTTACAGCAGATCTTATCTGCCTTGGTCATCTTCCAGCAATGGATGTTATGTGCATCACAACTGCACTGCATTGTGAGATATTTATACTTTTGTAGTGTCCATGCTAAAACAGGGACTTGTTTCAGCAAGCCCCGGGGTAGACCCAGCTGAGAAATATAATCAACTGAGAGATTATATTTCACAGCTGGCTTGGGAATGGTGTCTCCCTGGAAGAGGTGGATGGAAGTGAGGAAGTCTGGGCTTCTCTGGACAGACTGCTGCCCGCATGAGCTGAATCCACATATTGATTATAATAATAAGAAGATGGATGGATGCATGGATGGATGGATGGGTGGATAATCCTGGCACAAGTACTCTATGGGACTGTGCAAAACGTCTGAAAGCACCCATCATTTCTTTATTTTTTGTTCCTTTAGACTGAAGGAGGTCTTTAAAAGATTTTCTTTAGGCACTGGCTACTTTTTCACTCAGTTTCAGTCCAGTCCTCATACCTGACCATTCTCAGGCGATTTAGTTTTTGTTTGCTAAGCCATTTAACACTGACCCATCACAAAAATACGTGTTCCTATTTTTTTTTTACAAAAAGAGTGAGAAAGCCCATTTTGACAGGCAAAATAGTCATTCTAAAAGAGCTGTTAGCCAAAACATTGGTGTATCTCGGTAGGGTGTGAGGTGTTTCCTAAAAAATCTGAGGAAACTGGATTATTGGAGGACAAAAAAATGAACAGCAAATGAACAGTGTCTGATAGTCAGGTCCTTGAAATTTAGGACTGAAAATCTGTGGCAACAGGTCTTAAAGAGTGTTGAATCAAAATGTTACACTTTGGTTCCAAACGAAAGGCAAAGGTCTAAAAAGGAAACTCAAAACCAAAACCTAAACTGACACAAAAAGCTTAAGGTTAGCTAGAGAAATCACTGGGGCGGACAGGAAGCATAACAAACAAAGACGTGACAATATTTACACAGAAAGGACAAATTGAAGTTGGGAAATAGGATAAGGAGTAAGACCCTAAACACAAAAAAAACTTCAACTTTAAATGGAAAGTCTTGCTGTGAGGCAACAATGTCACCTGCTGTACCACCTGTACAAAGTTTTGCTCAACAGAAGTCCACAATTCACCCCCTGTCTTACCAAGTAAATCTTAAACCAGTTTCTGGTTTTCTGTGTCTCTTGTCATATAAGATATTTCTCGTATCACACTTCTTGTTCCATCGCTTAGTCTTGTCCATAACTGCAGGTGTGTAAAAATTAAAAAGATGAATCCTTGTCGGGTCATAGATGATTGATTGTCCCTCTTTAATGGACTGTTTAACCACAACTTAAATGTTGTGAGCGAAACATCTGCTCCCTTGCTCGCAAATTCGGCGCATTTAGATGGAGATATGTGTGGAGAATAATGCATTAAACATACATACAAACATACATACTATTTGGATGTCTAATGGTAGAAATGAGCAGGATACAGATGAGCATCAAACCACAGATGAGTAGTTTAGATGCTTATGTCTGAGAGTTGGAATACAATATGGGGTTGAGCTTGACTTTGACTGTGATCAGATTAAATCCCCGAAAGAGCAGTGTAATGATTAAAAAGCAAAAGATAAAGGAAGCAACACACTTGTGGGATTTTTTGTAAGCTGTGCTGTTCAAACTCAAGAAGTAGATATAAATATCCTATTACTCATAATGTGACAGAGTGCTGCAGTTGACACCAAGATTATTTAAAGTAGGCCCTGTTCACTGGTTCCTATTTGCCGGGCAACGATAAGGAACCCCGTGCAAAAATATATGCACTAAGGAGCAGAGCTAACAGGGTGGTTAATCCCACTGAATACTTGAAAAGATGTGGTAACTCAAATCAAACACCAAACCAAACAGACAGAGGCAAGAAAAACATAATGAGAGAAAAATGCTCTTAAGTTGACATCAAGCAACCGTCAGACACACACACACACAGATATCTGAGTGTTTTAGCTCATTCCCAGGTAAAAGCCATCGTTTTCCTGATCCTCACTTTTTTTCATTTGAGTCTGATTTTCCAGCTCTCTCCAAAAAAAAAAAAAAAAAAAGCCAAACTTGCCTTTAGAAAAAGTACAACTTAGAGGAAGTGCAAGAGGAGAAGAGACAGGCAATGAGTGATTAAAACAGTAATAAAGAGACAGTCGGAGGGAGCAAGAGATCTAAATTAGGAACAAAAGACACCGGAGGATGTATGTGTGTGTGTGCGCTGATGTGGGCATTATGTGCACGCTTGCGTGTTTCTATGCAGTGTATCTTTACAGCCCCCTTGTGAAACCTCAGGCGACTTAATTCAGTGTTTCCAGTTCAGTCCTTTCCTGCTTTGCCTTCCTATTCTCTCAGTTATTTTAATATCTTTTTTAATGTAATGGAACTTAAAAGTATATAAAAACATATATTATTGCTAAGAAAAGCGTATTAAACGGAGAAAACAACCATATTTTGTTGCTTTTGTTGTCTGGGAGGGTTTTCTCTGCAGTGATATTTACACCACGAGCTTTATTCCTGCTGGAGTGATTTACTGTAGATCGATAGGACGCTCTATCCGTTCCTTTTCGGTCTAATCCTGTTGAAGAATATCTATCGTCTTAATAAGACATAGATCCATTAGAGATAATTAATGTCACAGTTAAATCGGCTGCTGGCAAAGATTATCGTCACTCTGTATCATTTATTGCTTTTCCTATCTCTGAGCTTTTTAATCCAGTGTCCTTCTTAATTATCTTCTTTATACTTTAGCTTTTCCGTCTCATGCACTCATGAGCTAAAGTCAAAGTTATAAACAGGTGATCCTCTGTGCACACGGCTTGACTGAGCACACTGACGCAACATAGAGCTAATTTCAAGACAACAGAGGCGTTGCTGTCATCTTAACTCTGAAAAGCACGTTGTGCAAATGCATGCTTGAAAATGTTATACGCATGTGTCCATCTGACCACTGTGTGCATTTTTTTAATTATTTATTATTTTTTACACAGGTGCACATGTGGTTCCCCTCTCCTGTTAATCTGGGTCAGCAGCAGACAAGCGATGATGAACTGCACAAGGGCTGCAGCTCTCCCTCGTGTTGATATTTCAGACTACAGGGTGCTCTGTAACAAAACATCTCTTGTGCTGTAGTCTGAGCCACAGCTCTGCTTGTAATTAGTGGATGATTTATGCAATGTAATATAATAATAAATGCAAAACTCAGTGCATTACCAGCTCATTTTGGCCTCTGGGTATTACCTCTGAGATCATGGGGACACTCTGGTCTATGCTTTTATGCTTGGAAGTATGAAAAGGGGGTATTGAGCATGGCTTGGTTGTCTCTTGGTTGCGGAGCTGCTCTGGTGTGAATAGTTACGACTCTCTTACATCTAAGAGACTCCTTCCTGAGGCCATTGCCTAAAGTGTGTTCTGTCACCTTGCTTGGATAAATAAGACAAAAATCCTGTGTCTGAAACAATGTCTCCCCTGAGACTTCAGTCAACACAGTATAGGACATTGCAAG